AGGAAGTTGAGGCTCTAGGATTTGGGAGCTTTCTTCTTTTCTAATATAGGCATTTAGTGCTATTAATATAAATTTCCCCCTATGTACTACTATCTGGGCAGCGTGTTGGGACTCCCCAAGACCACTCCTAGGTTCAGTAATTCACTACAAGGACCCACAGGACTCAGCACATATTCATTCTCCTGGCTATAATTTATTGCAGTGAAAGGATAGCAAAAGGACATAAGGAAATGTCTGGAGAAAACAAGGCACAAACTTCCAAGAGTCATCTCCCAATGGAGTTGTACATGACAAACTTAATAAGCTCAGTAAGAAGTTATGATAAAAGTGTCAAATGCTGCCAATCAGGGAAACTAGTTAGAGACTCAGTACCCACAGTTTTTATTGGTAACTGGCCATGTCAGCACCCTCTTCCTGGTAACATACCCAAATTCCAGATTTCCAGAAGGAAGGCAGGTGTTCAGCATAAACCACACTGTTTGCACAAGCAGTTTAGGTACAGTGAAACACTCTGGTCAGTGAGGTTGGTGGGAGCTCTCTTGAAACCCAAGTTCTGTCTCTCACCATTGCAAATTAGTGCAACCTTTGTGGAAAAGAATTTGGAGATATCTCAAACAGCTAAAACTAGAAATACCATTCGACCCAGCAATAGCATTATTAGGCATCTACCCAAAAGAGCATAAGACATTCTGTTATAAAGACATCTGCACCCTAATGTTCATGGCAGCACAATTCACTATTGCAAGGACGTGGAAACAACCCAAGTGTCCGTCAATTCATGAGTGGATTATTAAAATTTGGTATATGTTTACAATTCTAAGAAATGACAGCGAGCTAGCACCGCTTATATTATCCTGAATTGAGCTTCAGCCCATTACCCAAAGTGAGGTGACACAAGATCAGAATAATGGGCTCCACATATACTCGCCATCAAATTGGTACTGACTGATTAACACTATGGTGCTCAAAGGGTGGTGGTGTTCACTAGGGATTCGGGGGTTGGGAGGGTAGTCCCATATCTAAGGGATGTGGTGAACAGTGTGGAGGGGAAGGGTATACCTCTAACCCTTGCTAGGGATAGGCAACCATATAAAATGTAACCAAAATGTTTAAAAAAAACCAAAACATTTATCTGGTGTCGGGCAGGTGGGAGGGGGGTGGAGGAGACGGGTATTTACATACATAGTAAGTGCAGTGCACACAGTCTGGGGGATGGACACACTTAAAGCTCTGACTCGAGGGGGAAGGAGAGGCAAGCAATGTATGTAACCCTGACGTTTGTACCCCCATAATATGCTGAAATAAAAAAAATTAAAAATAGAATTCCAAGTTCTCAGATGCCAGCCAAGGCCAACCTTGCTCATAGGTCTTTCTGAGGATAGCAGCCGCAGGCCTGCTACTCTTTTCTGCACAAGCAACATCCTAAACATTTTGATATGTTATGCTTTCATTCTCATACTGTTCAAAATACTTTCTAATTTCTCTTTTGAGTTATTCCTTAATCCATGGGTTATTTAGATTCAAAATATTTGAGGATTTTTTCCGAGATCTTTTTCTTATTAATTTCTAATTTAATTCCATTGTGTTCAGAGAACATATTTTGTATGATTTGAATCCTTTTAAATTGGAGTCTTGTTTTGTGACCCAGAATATGGTCTTTCTCAGTAAATGTTCCTTGTGCACTTATAAGAATGTATATTCTGCTGTTGTTGGCTGAAATGTTCTATAAATGTCAATAAAGTTAAGTTGTTTGATTGCACTGTACAATTCTGCTCTATCCTCACTTTCTACACATTTCTATAGATTGTTAAAATTTCCAAGAAACTGAACTGAAGGGAGCGGCAAGATGGCTAACTAGAGACATCACTTACCAGGCCATCCTGGAGGGAAGGAGGGGTTTCAGATAAAGGATTGAAGAGAAAGGGCACACAGCTCAGGTGTAGGTAAGAGCAATAAGTACCAGAGCCTTCTAGGGACCTCATATAGGGAAATTGCAAAGCAGAGAAAAAAGAGGAAAAAGGAAAAAAAGATACTGGCGAAGATCAAACCCAAGAGGCTGGGAACCCAGTGAAGGGGTAAGGGGAGATCCTGTTCTCCTTCCCACACTCCTTGGGTGATCAGCAGGATACCAAGTTACTTGGAAGCTTTTCCACCCCAACGAGCCCAAGCACCAAGGCAACCGCAAAACCATGGGGAGAACTTGCATGATCCCAGAGCTTGGACATTCCATGTGGGGTTCCCCTCCAAGGAGAGTGGCCAAGAGGCCAGAGAGCCGGTTTTCTTCCAATCAGACTCTTATCATCCCCTGCCCACGGCAACCAGGAAAACAGTTTGAGCCAAGAATTTGGCAAGTGGCTGCCTCTCCCCAACTGGTGTGTCCTCCAGTCTGAGATTTCCACAGAGTGGAGCCTACACCTTTCTCCTTGAGGACCTGCAGTGGACCCAGAGTGCCTGCTCTGGGAGCTGCCTGCCTGCTGACATTTCCCAGAGACGCATCCCAGCAGGTCAGACATGCAAGCCAGATCCTGTGCCCCAGGATGCAAGTGGGTTGCTAGAGGACATGGGAGATTTGGGAGCTAGACTCGGGAGGCAAGGGAGCCCAAATGGGCAGAACTGATGGGAGAATACTGTGGGGGTCTGAAATGCGGTAATCTGGGGGAGCACCCAGCCCCCCCACCACGAAGGAAAGCCAAGCTGTCAAACTAGCGTGGGTTCTCCAGCAGGAAAGATCCCAGCCCACAGCATCATAGCAAGTGAGTGCAGTGTTTTCAGGCACCCATTTGCAACCGGACGCCAGAGAGCAGGGGTAACACAAGAGGGGCAGAGCTCACTTCCAATAGCTACCCCTTCCTCACAAACAGCTGTCCAGCTCTGGAGAGCCTGCCTTGACCCTCCTCCCAGCAGCTTTCACTTCAAGCCCTGCCAAGGCTGTGCGAAGCCTTCTAGGCTCCCCAGTCTAACCATACCCAGCCTCGCTCTTCCACCCACCTCTGCTGTGGTGGAGCACAAGCAACCCCCTGGGGGCTACAGGCCCCCTCTCAAAGCCTGGGGCATTCAAGCGCTCCTACTCAGACACTATGGCTTATTACAGACACAAAAGAACATCTCTACAGTTGGCTTTTTCCTGCAAGCATCAACCACTGACAGGGAGAACACTATGGCTCATTACACCATCTACCAACTCAATCAAACAGGCCATGGCTTACTCTTACAAGCATCACCCACCGTCTCGGAGATTAAGCTGGGGGTCCCAATACAACTCACATTGCTGGGAAGAGGTGAAGACAGCAGGACACAGGCAACCCAACGGGACACTCCTTTTTAGGCGAGAAACAGAAGTTACAGACAGCTCCACCTGTGAGGGGTCTCCCCCTTCCACTGCAGACCCCTGGGATGATCGGAGAGCTGCTCAGAGTCTGTGCAGAGACATTCCAGCAGAGAGTAGGTGCAGCAGAGATCTGGTGCCTGCCAATCGGAGGTTTCTGCAACTGACACCATCCTGATCACTCTGGTGCACGGAGCCACGTCTGCTTGGGACCCAGCCTTCTAGCAGTAACCTTAGCATCACCCCCACCAGGCTGGGGAGGGAGGGGGCGCTCCCCGTGTGGAGCCCTGTGACTAGGGGCTGAGCATGCCTCCTACCCGGCATGGGAGTTGAACAGAGGAGAAGCCCCAGACGCCAAGGCACCACTTGGGAATCCTGGGGCGAATGCCTCAGTGGGCCATAGGTGTGGGGGGAGAACCTTGGCTGACCAGCAGCTCTGGCCTGCCTACACAGACCCAGGCCACTGAGACGAACCCCTGCCTGCACCACTGGGAATCAGCAGTCCCCATACTGGTGGAACAGCCCCCAGTGATTTACAAATTCAATGCAATCCTCATCAAATTACCAACATCATACTTCACAGATCTAGGAAAATTAATTCTATGCTTCGTTTAAAATCAGAAAAGAGCCCGAATAGCCAAAGCAATCTTAAGCAAAATGGACAAATCTGGAGTTGAGTCTGACTGCATTCTAACTTTTGCTATTTAAATAAAGGAGTTAAAGGAGTATATTTAGGTTCTTTAGCACCTCAACAAATTAGGAATACCAATTAATTCTTGGTAATAAATTACAGCCTGGACTAGTAATTATTTCAGCTATTTAAAAATAATCTTTTGCTCCCAGCTAAAATCTCCCCTCCTGTTTTATTTTTTTCATGGCATTTATCACTAGCTGGCACATAATATGCATTTACTTATTTGCTTATTGTCTGTCTCCCCTTCTATTAATAGAATTTAAGCTCCATGAGGGCAATAGCTTTGTTCTCTCTTGCTCACTGCTCCACTTCTAGGCCTTAAGATAATAACTGGTACATGGTAGTGGTTCAAAAAGTACTTGTTGAATGAAGTTCCTACTAACTAATGGGTATTATCTGAGTGACTAAAATTTTATGAGCGCCCATTATGTGTCAAGCCCTGTGCTAGTAAAGTACGGCAACAGAGTTGTTATCTATGATTTTATAGAGCTAACAGTCATAGATAAAACTTCAGACAATTTTATATTGACCAGGATATTTTCTTTATTAAACTGTTGTATAATTACTTCACTACGATCTGGCATGATTTATTACATTTAGTAACATTTTATAACAAAAAGTTATCTTCAAAATGTAGTATCCTAATCCAAGTATCACAAACATCGCACAAACTACTCCACTCACTTTTAGAAACCATCCCTAAGGATCACTTGATGCCAGGAGTTTGAGACTAGCCTGGCCAACATAGTGAGACTCTGTCTCTAATAAAATTTTTTAAAAAAGAAAAAGAAACCATCCCTAATAGGAATGTAGGAGGAGCCGACACTTCTGAGGGTAGTTGACAGTAGCAGATTGAATGCTTCCTAACAAGTCTCTACTTCCAAATTTTTCTCAGGAGTTCTCCTTTGGTTCTTTCCCACAAGTGTTGTCTTTAATTACAAGGATAATTACTATTGACTCCTTTTAAAAAAAAAAAAATGCTGAGCATTTCTTCTTTATATATGATACGTTCATGTAAATAATCAGATCTTTTGGAGAATCACACACCAGTTCCCCTGATCATAGTAGCTTTGCAGGATGCTGACATTACTCAAAGTCTGGCAGGCAGCTTCCAATTCTCCCTCACGGAACACATGGTAGTAACGATGAAACACTGGGCTTGGGTCATGGGACCCTACTGGACCCAATGGCTCAACAGGTTTGTCTTTATTAGGGTTTCCCCTAAGGTGCCAGGGAACCAGTACATCTTGAGAATGAAAAGTAGTCCTGTTAGTATGAACAGGCAGCTTGGAATTTGTAACTTTCCTTGAATCACATCCTCCCTCCTGAGAGTCATTAATGGAGGGGACAGAAGATACTGAGTCTTGAGTGCCCATGTCAGGCATTTGCTCCACATGCAACCCTTGCACTGAGGCATCGCTGTTTATCTCCTCTTTCTTTTCTTGGCTAATTCTGTTTCCTCTAAGATATTTGGACTTCTGCTTTTTATATTCTTGTTCCATCGCCCAGACGTAAACGAGTGCCTTCCCACCAGGTCTCAGGAGTCGAACAAGTTCTTGGAGAGCTGCCACCCTACGTTCCTAAATAAAAAAAAACAACACAAAACAAAACAGAAAATATTGCCATTTATCAACCAAAGGAGACATAGAGAAGAAATGAGAAAATATAACTGACTGTAAGACTGTTTTCAATTAGGATAAACAATAAGAAAACCTAACATCTGTAGGTTTAAAGTAAGGCATTTTAAAGTGAATGAGACTTGGGGTAGAAAAAATGCAAAAACGTGCAGCAATTAAAGCACAGAATCCCATCAGGCCTGTTTAAGTAAACATGACTCCCACGTAGCCCATCTTCATTCTGCACGCTCTCTTACAAACAGGGCAAATTGTGTGACAAGAGAATGGAAAGAAACGAAAAGCTAAAACAGGGTCCCAAATCAGTAAAATCCATGAACTTTTCCTACCATTTCGGCTACAAGTTCTTAGAGAAAGAGAGACAGTGCTTACTACTGTTGCAAAATGGTGAATAACAGCAATGGAGATACAGGCATCACAAGACCCACTGCGGACTGGTACTGCCAGCGCATCACAGACAAAGGCCTGAAAGTGCTTCTCTCTACAAATGTCCACAAGGTTTTGGCTACGATCACAACCCATCTGCAATAGAGAAATAAAGAATTTTTTAAATATCACAAAAAAGTAAGAGCTATGAGCTTATTCCATTACCTTAAACTCATCAGACAGATTTCGTATTCGCTGTGAAATGGTCTGAGACCATGATGTTATCAGTGCTTACAGTAAGTACAAAGTCAGAATATATAATTATTCAGAGCGACGTTTATTACCTTGGCAGACATCAAACAGAATTCAAATTGGTAAATGGAAACAAAATGACTAAAATAAAAATGATAGCAGTGGAAATAGGAGGTCCAAGTTTGCATCTAATTGATCGCCATTCTGAATCTAGATCTTTCTGTAATATCACACATTTAAAACTGGAAATTGGCCGGGCGCGGTGGCTCACGCCTGTAATCCTAGCACTCTGGGAGGCCGAGGCGGGCGGATTGCTCGAGGTTGGGAGTTCGAAACCATCCTGAGCGAGACCCTGTCTCTACTAAAAATAGAAAGAAATTAATTGACCAACTAAAAATATATATACAAAAAACTAGCCGGGCATGGTGGCACATGCCTGTAGTCCCAGCTACTTGGGAGGCTGAGGCAGGAGGATCGTTTGAGCCCAGGAGTTTGAGGTTGCTGTGAGCTAGGCTGTCGCCACGGCACTCACTCTAGCCTGGGCAACAAAAGTGAGACTCTGTCTCAAAAAAAATAAAATAAAATAAAAATAAAAAATAAAACTGGAAATTATCCCATAAACATATACATTTAGTCTTTTGCAGGAGCTACTCTCATTATTATATATACTATATTGTGATGACCCAGAGAGCAGGAGGATGGATGATTTTTTTTTTCTGTTTCTTTATACTTTCCAACATGTATTCCTTTAATAATCAGAAAATGAAATGCCAAAACAACAAAAAAACAAAATAATTTTTTCATTTTTTAAAACTATTAAGTCTTTTTCTGCTAAACACCAAAGTTTATCAAGAATAAAGTGCTGAATTTGAAATTCATAAAATGCTATTTAATAAAACCTTTTAGTGTAACCAACAATCCTATGAGAATGATGGCACTGAAGGCAGCTAGCAGATGCTTTCATCTCAAGCAGGTGAGGCCTTAAGTGCCTTATGCATGTGTCTGGGTCTGTGGGAAGTATGTGGGGGTTGGGAATTCCCATCTTCTCTCTAGTTTTGTTGTTTTTATGCATAGTTTTGCTGTTCTAAGAATATCACTTATGTATGTATAAATACACACACACACACTGCAATGTGCCCATGTAAATTAGGAATCAGAGAGGCTTAAGAAACATTAAATTGCTAGTTAATAATCATTCCCAAATAATTTCTTCTTAACTCAATCACTATAATAGGGAAAAGAATTATATAAGCAGATTTAGTCAAATAGAAGTGGCTTCCAAGGTTATATTTATTCATTTAATTTTTTGATATAATGAGCATTAATCCTAGGGTTCCAACCTCAGCCATTCTGAGAATAAAGAATATGAATACTCATATCAAAACAATTCTTACTGAGTTAAATCACATCGCCATGCTAGTCATACTTAATGAGTTTGCTCACTTTGTAATTGGTAGTAAGCTGCTTCTACATTCCATCCTGAAGCTGCTTTAATTTGTAAAGTGGAATAAAAGATACCAAACTAGAGGTAAAGTATAGCAATTTCTCTTTGATATATTTTAAGATGTAAAAGTACTAAGGCACCATTAAGGCACCAGTGGCACAATTCCCAATTAATGGTTCCCTTTAACTGTGTAAGATACATGCCTGGCTTATTTTATTTATTTTCATCCATATTTTCTATACCACTCAGCCAACAGTCACTACATCAAGATGACAATACCATTCAAATAATAGGCATATTATATTCTGGTGCTTTTTGTTACATTTAAATTCAGTTCATAGAATCAGAAGTTCCAGTTTTAGCTATACCTTGCTAAAAGTCAACAGGAAGAAATCCAACCTACCTATAAAACAAATCCTCACACCTAGGGCTCCATAGTCACTCAGAGATGGAAAGTTATTATCTGAGAACCACAGATAAGACAGAGCAAGAACAACAGCCAAACAAAATAAGAGAAAATCTCCCTCTCCTTCTTGCCAGACCTTTATAGCTATTTGTACAGAGCACTCCTTTTCACCAATAAAAGAGAGCATGGGCAATTTTAATAATAAAGCACCAGGTCTACTGTAGATTCCCCACTGACCAACAACCTGACTCATGCCTGGCTCAGTTCTTTTATCTTTCACTTATTTTGCCTAAGTCTTCCATATGCTATAGTCAAATTGTCACTAGTTTTTTCTCTTCTCTATTTTTAAATTTCTTTAAGTTTTTATACTAAGGATGGTACTAAGTATTTGAAAATCTCCCTAATTATGTTGCATGAATCAGCAAAAGGACAGAAAATGTCTTATTTATAAAAACCTACATATATTCAAGGACTCATGGAAAGCTACATATTTCTGTATGCTGGGTAGAAATCAATGATATCAAAACAGATATTAGGCTTAAAATGTATACTTTTACTCCTATATAATTTTTTAAATTCTCAAAAAATTAAATATGCAATTCTGGAAGTACAGGTTAACATGTAAAAATATTCAATATAGTAATCATAGGTACAAACTAAAACAAGGCTCCTTTTTCTCCTATTAAACTATCAAAAATATTTTAAAACCAAAACATACCACAGTGATGGCAGTGTGAAAACTTATTCTCATATAATGTTGGTGACAAATGGAATTGGCTCAACCATTTAAAAGAGCAATTAGACAAACCATGTTTTTAAAGAAAAAAACAATGTTCACAACTTTTGGCCAAATAGTTATTCTTCTAGAAATTTATCCTAGGAAAATAAAAAGTAGGGAAAAAGCTAACCAGGCTAATAACGACTGCCTTTTCCTGAGGACTCACTATGGATTAAAGCATATTCTTTGTATCAATCCACTTAATCCTTATAATACACTTTAAATTAGGTATTATTATCATCATATTACAGATAAGGAAACTTCATCTCAAAGAAAATAAGTAATTTGCCCTAAGCTGATCAGTAATTAAGTGGTAGAATGGAGATTTAAAACTTATTTTTTCTCTTTCCCAAAATCCATATTCTTCCTTCTTGTCCCACTGTCTCTCAATATACATGTTCATTATGATGTCATTTGTAATAACTCCAAACTGAACACAACCAAAAGTCCAGTAACATCCACCTAACAGAATATTACAAAGTCCAAGTTTCTTTAATACATGGTATCAGGAAAACTGGATATTAACATGCAGAAGGATGAAATTAGACCCTTATCTCGCACCATATACAAATATCAACTCAAAATGGATTAAAGACGTAAATGTAAATAAGAACTGAAACTGTGAAACTGCTAGAAGTAAACAAAGGGGGAAAGCTCCATAATGTTGGTCTGCGCAAGAAATTTTCAGATATGATCGCAAAAGCATAGGCAACAAAAGCAAAAATAAACAAACGGTGTTAGAGCAAACTAAAAAGCTTCAGCACAGCAAAGGAAACAATCAACAGAGCAAAGAGATAACCTACGGAATAGGAGAAAATACTTGCAAACCATATATCTGATAAGGGCTTAATATCCAAAATATATAAGGAGTTCAAAGAACTCAATAGCAAGAAAACAATCTCATTTTAAAATGGACAAAAGATCTGAATATGTATTTCTCAAAAGAAGACATACAAATGGCTAACAAGTATATGAAACAATGCTCGACATCACTAATCATCAGGGAAATGCAAATTAAAACCACAATGAAACATCATCTCACACCTGTTAAAATGGCCATTACAAAAAAGACAAAAGGTAAGTGATAAGTGTTGACAAAGTGTGAAGAAAAGGGAACCCTTGCACACTGTTGGTGGGAATATAAATTATAGCCACCATGGAAAACAGTATGAAGGTTGCTCAAAATTTTAAAATTAGAACTACCATATGATCCAACAATCCCACTGTTGGGTATATATCCAACAGAAATGAAATCAGTAATGTCAAAGAGGTATCTGCACTCCCATGTTCATTGCAGCATTATAAAGATATGCAATCAACCTAAGTGTCCATCAGCAGATGAACAGATAAGGAAAACATGGAATATATACACAATGGAATATTACTCAGACATAAAAAGGAAGGAAATCCTGCTATTTACAACAACATGGATAAACCTGGAAGACATTATGTGAAGTAAAATAAGACAGACATGGAAGGCAAATACCACATGATCTCACATCTATATGGAATCTAGAAAAGTTGATCTCATAAGAACTAGAATAGAATGATGGTTACCAGGGGCTGGGGTAGTTTGGGGGGTTGGGGAGATGTTGGTCAAAGGAGTCAAAATTTCATTCAGTTAGACAGGAGGAATAAGTTCCAGAGATCTATTTTACAACAAGGTGACTATAGTTAATAACAATATTAAACAATATTTTAAAAATGCTAGGCCAGGCGTGGTGGCTCACGCCTGTAATCCTAGCACTCTGGAAGGCCGAGGTGGGCGGATCACTCGAGGTCAGGAGTTCGAAACCAGCCTGAGCAAGAGTGAGACCCCGTCTCTACTATAAATAGAAAGAAATTAATTGGCCATCTGATATATATAGAAAAAAAAATTAGCCGGGCATAGTGGCACATGCCTGTAGTCCCAGCTACTAGGGAGGCTGAGGCAGGAGGATTGCTTGAGCCCAGGAGTTTGAGGTTGCTGTGAGCAAGGCTGATGCCATGGCACTCACTCTAGCCTAGGCAACAAAGTGAGACTCTGTCTCAAAAAAAAAAAAAAAAAATGCTAAGAGAGTGGATGTTAAGGTTTCTCACCAAAAAATGATAACTATGTGATGTAATGCATGTTAATTTGCTAGATTTAGTTAATCTGCAATGTATATATACTTCAAAACATCATATTGTACATGATAAATGCATATAATTTCATCTGTCAATTTAAAAAAATAAAAGAAAAATAGAGAAAAAAAGATATCATATTATATATAAAGTCCAAAAACACTACATGACTA